TAAAAAAAAACAAGTCAGCAAAGGGACTCCGCCATCTGGGTCACGTTACTGAGCAGCTTCAGATGCACGCTTTGATTTCAGCGTAGCATCAGATGCCGTCTCCGTTTCACTACGATTCCAGTCTATAACTATCAACTTATGTGTTTAATGGAAGGAGAAAGAAAAAAAGAAAAAAACTCTGCGGGCTTTGCTTGTTTTCGCTATCCTCTGTATTTTTTTAGAGCCTCCTCTCCGTGTTTGACGGGTTAAAACAGCCCTCCTCTGAGGCCTCTCAAGGCTGGGAGAGCATACCAGAACCCAGCGAACAAATATCTGCACCGAAAACACGGCATGGACCAGTTGGACCGCTTTTCTGTTCACCCGCATTTGGCAGGGAGGCCTCAAAATAGCTGAAACATTTGCATTCATTTTCATCTTCGGACTGAGGTGGAAAAGTGGCAAAAGGGGAGGTTAGCCAGTTCAGACGCACTCCTCTCTGTGAGAGGTTTTTCTGTCCTACCCTCCTTGGTGTGACTGCCCTTCAGCCTGCTCTGCAGCTCCTCTCGGTCCTCCTGGAGGTGTTGCACTTGGATCTGAAGCTCCTCACACCTCCTCTTCCACTGCTGCTCCTTCTGTTGCAGCTCCTGCAACAGAGGACAGACATTAGAGGGTAAAACCCCCAAACCTGCCCCAAGCAACAACAAAAAAAAAAAGAAAAATGAAGATAATCCCAGTCTGGGGAGAGCAAAGTATGCTGTCAAATGGGTGTGTCGTTTTGTTATTACATTTTTACAGATGTTACAAAGATCGGTCAGCCAGAGCCACACCTCTCCATAAACAGTGATGTCACATCTAAAAGACACTATGCTTTGCTGTAAAGAGTAAAGGCTAAGAAGTGAAGGCCCTAGGACCAACAGTCTGATCTACCCAGCTTTTTAAAGCTTTTTTTATCATTTGTTTAGGGTCAGTCGTCACTCCACGCTGCACACACTGTGGTCTGTGTGTGTATTTTCCTTCAGTGTGTTCCATCTAGTGCTGACTAACGGCTTGTTTGTGGTTAACTGAACTCCATCTTTTTTGTTCGTTGTTGCAGGAGCTCTGGCAACAACAGCCGTCAACTGAGACCGACTTATCCCCGATAGAGTTCGCTTCACTTAACACATTTGAATGTTTCTGGACTGTTAACGGTTTTCTTTCGATTTGATGTACGACAGCGTGGGGGGAAAACATCCGTCCGTCCATTTTCTGAACCGGATATTCCCAAACGGGCTTGGGGCGGGACTGGAGCCCATCCCAGTAGGGTACACCCAGTAGACTAAACCCAGTAGGGTACACCCAGTGGGGTACACCCTGGACGTCCCAGTAGCCCATGGCAGGGCCACACAGAGACACACAAATACCAACAACTCGGAACCTAAAAGGCAGTACCCAGAAATGGGGAGAACATGCAAACTCCACACAGAAATGTCCAGAAAGGTCCCGGTTCCGTTCCAATCTTGTTCCCAACCAGATGGGCCACACCACCATGCTGCCCTGAGGAATACATGTTTCCTGCTATCCCTCCAAAGAATCTAAACGCCAGAGGAGTCGGCAAGTCTCTGAAAGAACCAAACTGGGGGGGTTTATAAACGTTTTATACAGGGGGACACCGGGGAAGCTGCTGGCTTTTGGGGCTCAGAGCTTGTAGGCAGCACTGAGAGGAGGACAGGAACCCAGAGTCTGGCTGTCACACAAAGTCTCACAAAGTCCCACAGCTATTGCCACTTTCTGCAGAACTCAGGTAGGAAGTGAGCAAAGCAGAAAAGTCTCCAACCAAAGCTGCCAAGAGGTGTATCATTTAAAGTTCCTTGCAGCCAAAAAAAATTATATTGTTACCATCATCCCTATTGGGTTTGCAGACCCAGGTCTGCCTTCAGAAACCTAAGTTACTATGAAGGTTAAAGCTCACGCCGTTGCCATGTTCAAACACCCACACGTATAAGCCCTGGTTCGTGTATTGTTTACAAAATGGTGGCGGGCGTGAGAGCCCCGCGCCGTTACCCGCAGCTCGCTCCGGTCGGCGCCCTCTTCCCGGTCCTTGGCCCCTCGCTTCTTCTGCTGCTGCAGCTGGATGCTCTGGAAGGTCCTGAGCAGCTCCTCTTCCCTCAGCTGGTGAGCCTGGTTCCGGGAGGCGAAGCCCTCCAGCAGCTCCAGCGCTTTCACTATCCGGGGCACCAAGCCCTCGGCGCTCTCGCGGCCGTAGCCGTCGATGAGCCTCTCCACCTCGGCTCCAATGCCTTTGGCCAGCCGGTACACGTCGTCCACGGTCAGCGCGGAAAACGTCTTGTCGGGGCAGACCTGCGCGCTCGCGGGCTCCGCGTGCGCCTCCATGGCGGTTTAAAAAAAAAAAAAAAAAGCCCCGAGGACGAGGAAGACGACACGGGCTAGTCCGCGCGAAACGAAACAAAAAAAAAACCCCGAGGCAGAAACTTTGGAGTAGTCCTCCACGCGTTACACCAGAGGAGCCCACGGTACACCGGCAGCCCGCGAGGCCCCTTGCGAGGCTTTCTGCCACCCCCCTCCCACGAGCCCGCTCCGGGTTCCTCCTCCCACTTCTGACCAATGAGTGTCACGCGAGGACGGGCACGCATCAACTCGTCTGCCCAGTTGGAGCAGAACGATGCTGCGCCAAGTAGAGCGTGAACAGTTTCCCTCCGTCTATCTGCGGCCAGAGAAGCTTTTGCGAGGATTGGTAGCTCGTTAGTGCTCCGGGTTGTGTGCTTTCTAAAAGGGCAGGAGTGTAATTAAAGCAGTGCTAGAGGAGCTTAAAGCTTCACCTGAAACAGACTGAGTGCGTCAGGTCCAACGCCCAGGATTTGTTTGGACAAGTCAGCTTCTGTACAGTTTGAGCTCTCAAAGAGGGAAGCAAGCCAAAAAAAAAAAAAAAGTTCCTGAGTTCCCTCAGTGAAGCAACATATGTGCTTCACTTCCCCCTCATGTTCACTCCAAAAGAAGCAGGAGAATAAAAGGTCAAGACAGTGTTTATTATAAAAAAAACTGTGATCTTTATTTAAACCCAGGCTACCATGTCAGCAGGATGTACAGAGTAACGGGTTTTTACAGAGACGAAAATGCAACTCACAGTTTTACTTTTCAAAGGTTAAAGAGGAAGGAGGAGTTCGGCTTTCTGAAACAATGACAGATGTTACACCAAAGTTCTGTCTACAGAAAGCTACACACATATGCCCAGATTTACAAAAAGTCACTTACTAAAAATTACTGTAATGAAAGACAGAAGAGAAAACAAAAAAACAAAACATTTTTAGGAAAAAACTAAAGATTTTTTTAAAAAGGTCCTACGGGCTTTTTCATAAAAATTCCCAAGCATCGCGGTTACATGTGCTCACAAAAAGAAAAATACAGGGGGGGGGGGCTGCAGTGGACCAGCTCCACGCGGCTGGCCACAGCTCAGGCGTACATGTCCTCACGGTCAGCGTTGTAGATCTCCCCCTCCTGCAGCGAGGCGAAGTTTAGGAAGTGCGACGGCCGGTGGACTTCATGATAGAACTCTTTGGGGTTGGCCAGCTGCAGGTCGTACTTCATGTTGGGGTCATGGCGCACACCTGGAGCAAAACGGGAAAAACGAGTTATATAAATCCATCAGTTACATTCTGCAAGCTGAGCAAAATTCATGCAAAATGCTGAGTGGATAAAACATGAGTTAACATCTAAATACCAGGCTTATAGCCGACAGCAAAAGCTTTTGAGCTACCACTCAGGAAAATTGTAGTAAAATCAATAGAAGTGACGTGGGGACAGTGGAAATCAAACCATGAACTGGTTTCAACTAATATAAAGTTGTTGTTTTTTTGTTTTGTTTTTTTAAAGGAGGCTCCTCAAAAAACCCAAATACCAAATATCTGTGAAATGTTAGACCACTTACCCATGAAATTGTAATTCCAGGAGACTTGGCCAGGCACCATGAAGAAGCCCAGGAAGCGGTCAGAGAGCAGCATCTGCACTCGCTCATAGTGGGAGGGCAGGTAACCTTTGGGGTTGTTGCCCTTGTCCGTGTTCTGGCGACCCCACTCGTACCCGCTGGGGGTCAGCTTGTAAGCGGTGAGTGTGCAGGAGCCTGGTGTGAAGCTGAAGAAGAAATCACATCTCAGTAACATGCAAATGTCAGCCAAAACACAGAACTACAAATCCAGAAAGCAACAAGCTGCTGAAATTAGGAAAAAACGTTAAAAAGTATTAATACAAATTCTTTTTAAATGGAGTGGACCGACTTTATATGTAGAAGCGCGTACTCTGACACATGAAACCCGTTTCATTTTACACCGCAGAATCCATGTGAGCTGCTGTCATGAAACAACTCACCTGCAGGTGATGATGATGGTCTTCTCTCCATCCCAGGAGGGGTTATCTGCCATGATCTTGGCGTGGGTCGTGACGTCCTGCGGGGACAGCTGTGGCGACTCATTTGGCTGCGTGTGAATCCAGCCAAGGGGCTCCATTTCCTGTTTGGGTTAAGAAAAAAAAAAGTTTCAATTAAAAAACCCGAGAAAATCGACGTAGAGGCGTGACTCCAGAAAGCTCTCTGAACACTTCTTACTTTGAGGTATTCGTGACCGGGCAGCTGGTTGGGCAGGTGGACGGTCTGATGTGTCCCCCACTGGGGCACCATGACAATACAGCGGATCTCCTTCACCTGGGGGTTGTCTGGTGGGCTGGTGCCATACAGGTAACCTGCAATCTGTGGTTTGAGGAGAAGGTGGGGTCCATGAGAAAGGAGGCTTAGCTTAGGAGGGCAGGCACACTGTGAAGAGGTGCATCTCTGTAGCGTTTTTAGATACGTGCCTGTGCTCGCAAGTCAGAGATGCAGATGAACTTCTTGAGGACATTTTTGGGCAGGATGTAGGTGTAACCCGTCTCCTTGATGTCATCAGATGACACATAGATGTGGTTGGTTCGAAGATGGAGGTTGGCAGCAGAAATGGCCCTGAAAAAGAAGAATGAAGCAGGTACCGCCTTGGTTAACCTCTTTAACAGGACAGATGTGAACTCACCCCCCCCCCCCTGTACAGAGAAGCTAGAAACAAAGCACCAACACACCTGACTCTCCACTCAGTCTTGGAGGAGAAGGTCTGGGTCTCGTAGTTGGAGGTGGTGGAGGTGATGATCTCGTCGCCATGCTTGTTGACGGTGCGGGTCTGCGTGGCGGTGAGCTGCGACTGCTCTTTGGTCTGCTTCTCGATCTCGGCGATTTGCTGACGCTGCTGTGACGGGGCAGAGATCTCCATACCCAGGATGATGTCACGGATCTCAGACTGGGTCAGTGAGGCCACATTGACACTGGAAGCAGATTCATGCTTTTACTTTAAAAAAAATTAAAGTCTACATGTGTCCTGCTCTGCAGGGCTACAGAAACCATGTGATCTGCCCAAATCAACCAGGGAATATTCTTACTTGTTCTTTTTGCCATAATCAGCCAAAATGAGATCCTTCAGCTGCACCTCCACCTTTATCCACTCCTCGTCGGTGAGTGTGGGCCAGATGTGATGGGGCTCGGTGATGGTCGTTTTGTCGGGTTTCAGGATCACTTTGGCACGGTCGTTGTTGACGTGGAGCGCTCTCAGGATGAGGATGAGTCGGGAGAAGGCCTAAAAAGCGGGGCAGACCATCGTTAACCTCGTTTACATGAGGAGAGCTTTAGCCAGCTTGGTTTTAAAAGGGAAATAAAAGCAGTCTTTTTCGTGGCTCAGCACGATGCTTTAGATTCTGAGTCCTGATCTGTTCATTAGTTGGGAGTGGAACTCACTGTGTATGATGAAATGGTCTTCAGCCAATCATCGTAAAGGTTGAATAGCACCATCTGCGGCTCTGTGGCTTTCAGGATCAGATCTCCAAACTTCTCCACCTTCAGACAGGCCTGGAAGGGCAGCTGCAGCTCGGAGCCTTTGATCACAATGTTGGGGAAGTCGAGCAAGTGGACCTGAAAGAGATTTTAAGAGTGGTTATGACTTTCAAAGTCCATACAGTGCTTCGATTGGTATTGCTGTCATAAGCACTGCGAAACAGCCTCACCTCCAGAGGGTCCAGCATGCCTTTCCTGGTTACAATGATCTGTTTGGGCTGCTCCTCCACAGGGAGGGAGCGAATCAGAGCAGCCACCTCCTCAGCCGTTTTCCATTTGGCCAGCTAATTGAACAAAAGAGAGAATCTTTCATTTTAGGAAGAATTTCAGACACGCAAATCAGAGTGAGAGACTTTTGGAGGTTTGAATCTCTGCACCTGTCCCAGACGTTTCTGACCAGCCCACACAGAAGTGTGAATGATCTTGAGGAAGAGTTGCCCAGTTCTGGGGTTGAAGATGAAAATGGCTCCATTGATGGGTTTTGTGGTCAAGTTACCCTCAAATGTCTGTTAGAAGAGATTTAAGATATTTGATCCATTTGTTTAAATATCCAAAATGTAGAACCTTATACAACACTTTATGAATAATTTTCACCTTGTGGATTGTGACTCTGTACACATTCGTGTCGTCCACAAACCAGATGATCTGGTTGGAGAAGAGCTCCCCGTAGTTTTGCGAGGACAGGTAGGGCTCGGTGGGCTCAGAGGAGTAGAGCTGCAGACCTTTGCGGATGCGCTCTCTGAGCACATATAGAGCAGGGTTGGCCTTCATGATCTTGGCCATGGCCTGCTGGATCAGAGGTTTGCTTCCAGGGAACCAGTTTCCATAAGCACTAAAGGAAGGGAAATATAAAGAAGGGTTGAGGACCACGCATTCTATCGTTACCTCCACATACATCTTCCAGCCACTGTCAACGCTGAATTATTATTTTACTGAGAGAAAAGAATTTGAAAAAAGGTCACTAAATAATTATCAATCAATCCATATCACTTTGGGATATAAATACCCCCCCAAACAGTACATGACAAAATGCTGTTGCATAAAGGCTGAGGATTTGTTCACTCAGTGAGGCTGCACCTGTGGAGGTTGTAAGCCAGGTCAATGGCAATGAGCACTCCGGTGGGGGAGGGGTAGATACTCATGTTGTCTGTGGTGTAGTCCAGGAACTTGGCCCTGGCGTAGCGCTCGATGTCGTGGGAGTCGTAGTCGCCCCAGCGGAGCTGAATGTCAATCCAGTACTTCTGTGTGGTGGTGCTGTCCATCACGTCCCTGCAGGAGGACAACGCTTTAATCCACCAACAAACACACTGCTTGTACTCCACACAAAGGAAGAAGCTACTGGGATGTTTTTAGATTTATAAGTATGTAACAAAAATGATTTAAAAAAAAAAAAAAATTCTAAAAGGATCCTACTTTGAGTCAGCAAGCAGAGATGGTCGGGAAACGTTCCACTTGTAGGAAGCAAAGAGGAGGATGTCTGCGCAGGATGAGTTCATCTTGTACGACTTCCTGGGATGGATGGTCTCCTTCTGCACCGTCTCGATCTCCAACGCATCCAGTTCCTGGTCAAACACCTGAACACCAAACAAAGAGTGAGCGGCTTGTTCTGGTCAGACAAACGCAAAGTCCCCCTGCGGAGCGCCTTCAAAGATCGGGTGAACCAGCAACACGGACCTGACAGAGATCCATCACAATGCTCTCGTGAATCTTCTGCCACAAGTGAGCCCTGAAGATCTGAATGAGGGAGATCTTCAGCGTGGGGATCTTGCCGTGCATGAAGATTCCCGTCAGGTCAAGCTGTACTTGGAAACCCACGTAGACCTGAAAACACAGACCAGAAGTTGTAAGTCAGGGCACACCTTCTGAAATATTTCTGGTCACTTTGAACGTTGGGTTAACATCTGCACTGACGTTGGCTCTGTTGATGGTGGGCGACCACCAAAGTGTGAAGCGACGGTTGGGGATTTGGTTGAGACCAGACCTCTGGGCATTGGTCAGCTTCTTCCATTTCATGGACTCTTCAAAGCCACTGGCCTTTTCCCTGAAGCCCAAAAACACAACTTGTGAAATGCACTAATTCAATAAAGTACATTGGAATACATTAAAAGCAATTGCAGTATCACATGTACATTTGTTTTGATCAACAATGCACAGAAGGTGCCGATTCGCTTTATTTTGATATGCGATATTGTTATTGTAAAAGCAATCTCACCAGAAGAGACCTTCCCATGTGGGGAAGTAAGTGCCTTTGAAGAGGGTGTGCTCCAGGATACCCTCCACACCCCCCAGAGCCTGGATCATGTCTGTGCGGTAGTTGTTCAGGTTCCACAGCTTCCCGTCATGTCTCTGGTGGGTCCACCAGAATGGATTCTGCTTCAGCACCTGCGCTCAAGACAGAAGAGAGAAAAAAAAGAAAAATCAATCAGTGGCTGCGTGATGGTGTAAACTAAAGGCGTTTACTGTCACTGGTGCCATCATCCAAAACCTGGTTTATGAAAATTCTTGGTCTTGCACATAGAAAATGATCCAAAGTAACTCTAAGCATACTCTCAGATGAACATAGTAGGAATATCTCCTTCATACCTGATACTGTTTGAAATCTGTCCTGACTCTCCATCCTTTGTCATAGGCCAGTGTGTGTCTGTCCTTCTGGAAAAGCGTGTTGATCCGGGGGATTCCTCTATCCCACGAGTCCTCCAAATCTTCCAAGGTAAGACGCCTGGAGGAAAAGCAAAAGACATTTTAGTGGACCCAAATCAAAATCTCACTCAATCAGCAAAGGGAAGCAACTGTAAATAATATAAAAAACAAACAAACATGGGCACTGAGGAGCCAGTGTGCTGTGTACCTGTTCTGGGCAATAGCCTCCTGTCTCTTGAGGGCGTACTCAGCCCACACTCTCTGAGAGTCGATGAACTCACTCTCCCATGGCTGAATATATCGGTACAGATTAGGAATGAGCTGGTCTTCCTCATGACTCATTCCAGACCTGAAGTGTGTGATGCCCACATCTGTCTGCTTGGACCACCTGCAAAAGGAGGAGATAACTGAATGATCAATGTGCTCTGTTGACCCATCAGACACAAGCCACACAGAGCTGACTGGACACTCACCGGAGGTCTGACTGAGGGATAAGGACATGTCCCATGGACAACATGCCAAGGCCGCCCAGCTCTTTGGGAGTGTAGAAGACAACGGGAGGAAAACGGCTGGGCATTTTGGAGTTGAGGCCGATCTTGATACGCGTCTGGATCTTGTTCTCACATTTGACCAGCAAATCCAGGAGCTCCTGAGTGTTGACCACAGCCTCACGGAAGTAGGTCATCAGCCCAATCAGGGCCGTGTTCCATTTGTTCACAATCTGGAAGTAAAAAAATGCTTAGTGACTGTAAAACTGTCCATTTTTTGCACCATAATCCACCCATTTGTCATTAGTTTATCTTACTATTCCAAAGATTTGCTACTAACCTTTGTGAAAGTGGTAGATCCAGAAGCCATCAGGATCTGACGCACTCTGTTGTGGAAACGCTGCATTGATTCATCGTCCACACGCAGGAAACACTGAGCAGTCCTTTCTTTGGTCACCTAAACAGAACGTTAAAAACACACAATGTTACTTCAAACGGTTATAAAAACAAACAGGTGGAGCATTTGCTTGATATCACTCTTAGTTGTCTTGGAGCATTAGCTGCTATAGACGGTTTTTCTGAAGCTCAATCTGTCTGGTTTTCACCTCATTCTGCAGGTTCCAGACTCCATCCTTGTGAGTAAACTCCTCATAGCTTGTACGACACTTGGGGAGGATGCGGCACTCAAAGCCACACATGTTAAAGAGCAAGTTGGGATTGTCTTTGCTGTACACCGACACAAAGCTGTTCTCCCACTGGACTGTGGTCACAGACCTGGGCAGGCGGTTCTTGATGTCCCAAAATACAGCACGACCACTGGAAAAGACACGCATTTTTAAAAAAATGTTCTAGTTGCTTTTTTCTAGTTAAATATTTAACAAATACTTCAACTCACAGGTTGACGTCGTGCTTCATCAGTCTCATGCGAGCATCACGAGGCCAGCATTTCTTGTTGTTGTAACCCACTATGTTCTCATTGTTAGGGTCTGGATGCTCTGTCAGGTACCTCTGAATCAGATCCCTGGCCTCATCAGCAGAAAACCTGGGAGACAACAAAAACAGTTGTCACAATTTTCTGATTTTGCCCATAGCACTCATGACTACTTGGCAACTCCACCCCACCTGAAGAAGATGTGAATGCGGTCGATGTAGCGACAGTACAGTCTGATTGGGTGGGCGCTCTCTGTGGCGGTGTCTTGAAAACTCAAGAAGTCGTTGGGCATCTGAGGTGGGCCGGCCATCTCGCTGGCGCGATGCAGGCCGAGCACCAGCAGGTCCATCACCAGGCCGTAATACTGGACAATGAAGGAGGCAAACTGGAGCCCCCTGATGATGCCGTAAGAGTTGGTGTGGTTCATGTCCTGTGAGCCAGGCGAGAGAGAGAGGGGATGATCCAGTACCAGCAGAAAAGAGAGCTGGTACACAGCAGGCAGTGAGTCATAAAACGGGAGAGGATACCTTGTAGTTTATGACCACGTTGTTCTTGGCTGTCATGTAGTCAGCAATGTTGTGGTCCACGATGAGACGAAGCAGTCTGTTGAGCAAAGTCAGATCGATCTTTTCGTACATTTTCTCGTAGCGGGACTCCAGCATCACGTTGCATTCTCCCTCTGTGGTTTCCCACACATCCTGAAGGTTGTTGATGCCTTTGTCGGAGAAAAAACAAAAACAATGTGAGAAAAAAACAAAAATGATGGTTTATTTCCATCTGCATCCATAGTGAGGTATGAGTAAATATGATACAAATCTCTTTGTCTAAATTAGTCTGAGGCAAGCCTTACCCTGGCACCACTTGTAGACCAACAGTGGTGGGGGTTCCGTATCGGCCGGTTTGATCCAGGGTGGGAACAGGCGTCTCTTGTCTGCTTCGTACCACAGGTACTGGTCCAGGTAGGCATCAGTGATTTTCTCCAGGGGTTCCACATCATACACCGGCACCAAGTGGCTGTACAAGTCCATGAACTCAATGCCAACCTGCAAAAGAATGTAATGTTCAGACGCTTATACATGGTTCAAATTATAGTGATTAAAAATATCCCAATAAAGATTATATAAAACAATCAAATTGAAGACCAGAAAGAAAAAGCACAAGAAAAAGGTTTTCCAAACTACAAATGTTCTTTTTCTCCAAGAAGAAACATCACTGAACTGACAAAAACCCTCAGAGTGTTTGCATCCCTATGAGCTGACCTCTTTGAATGCTCTCTGTGTGAGCAGGTGACGCTTGATCCTGGAAAGGGCCTCGTGGGGGTTGTCGTAGGCCTGTTCTATCAGGCCCAGCTCCTCCCTCTGGCTCTGGTTCAGACGCGACTTCACACTAAGAGGGGGCACGTAAAGTCAACAACCTACACAACGAGAGTTTGGACGGGAACATCTGCTACTGGTTTGCTCAAGTTCTGAGCGGGTTTACCTGTATGCCTCTTTGAGCCTCTCCAGTGCCAGGATGAGTAGCTTGGTGTCATGTTTGTAGGACAGTGGGGGGAAAGGGATGGGCGAGAAGCGCCGACTCTCCAGCCAGTGCACGGTGGTGGTGTAAATGGCCACAGCCTCCTCTGCCGTGATGTAGGGGCCGTCCTGAAGGCAGACAAAAAGACAATTCATTAAATGTTACAAAATATCAAATTAGACGTTGACATCTGAGATGACGTGATGCCTTTATATTTTACTACTTGAGCATGAAGTTGTTATGATTGAAAAAATATATTTAAAATCATGTCTGAATAGCGAGGAGCAAACTGCTACTGCAGCCAGCAAAAATAAGAACCACCATTCATTCTATTATTCCTCCAGTTGTTACGCACATGCAAGCTGACCAATGCATGTGCGCCTTTGTAAGGAGGAGTCCAAAAACATTCAGTTCAGTTCATTTTTCAAATAAAGCAGCCTGTCAAAAAATTACCTCAGGAACTCATTTAAGGTTATGTGATCAAAAAAGGTTTAAATACCACCCACAATTTTTTTTCTGGAATGTTACCTTCAGGTAGTTGTGCTGTCTCTCCTGCTCAGCTTTAAGGTACAGACGGGTCAGTCTGCCCAGGTTCTTTTTGCACACCGTTTTATCCACAGTGGCTCCACGTCGGATTCGCTCACGGTTGTAGTGAGCGGTGTTGGTCCACCAGTCAGCTTTGGCCTTCACATAACGCAGGATCATGTTCTCAATGGGTGTAGGGAGGCCTGGCACCTGAAAAGAGAAGCAAAGATTATTATTTTTTTAATGATGCTTTAACAGCATAGTAAGATCATTGATAATATCCCGTATTTGAACGTTCACAAAGAACACTACTCATGTTTCAGCCAGCTTTCAATTACAGAGACTGAGATGGTGATCTCTTTGTTGGACTAACCTTCCAGGGGATGTTTGCTTTCCAGCACCTCCAGGACTCACTGAGATGCTGCAGGATGGTTCTGGCTTTGTTCTGTTTGATTCCCTCAGGCATCATATCCAGGATGTCGTGCATCACTGCAGCACGCAGCTCCAGGTCAAAGTGAGACTCCACACGCTGTTTGGTCACAGTCTTTGCAACACCCTTAGAGTGACGCCCTGTCGCGACAAACATAACAAAGCTGCAGACTTTCTCCCACCAACGGCCTCAATGTGTATATGACATCTCCAGCTACTTAAACACTTTATACAGATGTATGTGAGGATACCTTCAAACTGTCTGGCCAACAGGTTCCCCAACCACCTCTCCAACAATGGTGTGATCCCCCTCATGAAGAACAGCCACACTCTCCAGCCAGGAGCCCAGAATCCACATCCTGGACCCTTTCCCACAGGACCCTGATTAAAAAAAAATAGAACACATTCAAACTTGAGAATCTGAAATGCAGTTTTTGAGGAGAGAAAAAAACGAAAAAAATGAGCATTTTGTGTGTTTACTCACAGTGTTGAACCTGTAGTAGATGAGATGCTTCAAGTCTTTGCACATCCGGATCTGTCTCATGAGCTTGTACTTGTAGCGGTACATGCCTGTCAGTTGTCCCACGTGAGCAAAGATGTACTGCAGCCCATCAGACAACTGTAATGCAAAAAGTAGTGATTTCCAATCTATGTTAAACCAGAACCACCCAGGCTGCCAGCATTTCACGATGAAGATGAGAATACCAACTTTGAGCTTTTAAATGCTTTAAAAAAGCCCGGAGGTGTTATCAGCAGGCAGCAGTTAACACATCTCAGCACTTCCCCCTGATAAAACTAGGCAAAGTTAAAAATAACTAACCTGGAAGGCATCAACATTTCCCAGTCTGTACTGTACGTGGCTGTCCACCACCAGCTTGCTGAGACGCAGCACCTCTCTGCAGAGATGGAAGGCGTTTCCAAATCTGGACTTCTTTCGCTCCTAAGGAGGAAAAAACAATGGTTTTAACAGGTTAAATTGGTCTGTCCCAATGACACATTTTAATTGTGTCATTAGGGCATTTTAATTAAATGCCCTGAGAAGTGAACCGATATCAAAGTATAACCGCAGGTGGAATTATGCTTTAAATCCTACCTTTGTGGTCAGTGTTTTGACAGGCTTCAAGTTGAAGTTGTAGTCCAGATGCAGGTAGTTGAGGTTCTTACGGTGGATGAGAAGATTCAGCATGTTGTAACCCTGTCTGCACACCTGCAGACCGACCTCCACCCAGTCCAGCTTGGTGGACTGAAAGAACTTTGTGGCTTTAAAGGAGCGAAACAGGTATCTGAAAGAAAACAAAGAAATAAAAACATTTAAAAATAAAAAGTTTGGCTCAGGGGAAAATGTAGCCTTAAAGCAAAATGTATAACAGAAAGGCACACCTCTTCTTCTGGGCTTTTGGTGGTCTATGTTTGAGGGCATTGAGCACGTAGTACTTCAGTAGTTTCTGATACGAGACGCGCACTTTAACAGGCTGTCCTGCTGGGCAATGCTCTCTGTACCTGTAAAATATGACAATAAAATAAACATCAGAAAACATCTGTACAATTCAGATTTAGAAGCTGGAAATCAGATGTGGATAAAACTCTAGAATGTCTGATTTTATTTGAACGTTCTTGTTCCAGTTTGCTCACCAGTTCTTGATCAGGGGGATATCAATGGCTCGCCTTGTCCGTCCGGAGCGGAGGTTGAAAGGTCTCGGAGCCCAGAGCAGAGCGATGCCATTGGCTGTGTTGTCAGTGTAGAGGGGAGTCTCTTTGAGGAAGGGCTCCACATACTCAGGAAGCTCAAACTCCTCATCATCATCAGGCAGAGGCTCTTGACTCTGTGGGAAGATATTACAAAACCTGTCTTAGAACCTGGAACGTTTTTAGTGAGAATTTTAACATAACTAATATAAATGTTAACCCACTATGTGATCAGTGGCGTTATCTGAATGGTGAGGAGAAATCTGCAGCTGCAGCCAGTAATTAATAAAACAGCTCACCATTCATTCTATTATTCCTCTAGTTCTTACGCACAGGCAAGCTGACCAATGCAAGTGCGCCTTTGTAAGAGGATTTCAATCTAAATGTTACCTCGCTGCTCAACTTAGGAAGCTGGTCATCCGATATACAGACCTTGACAGAATGTCTGTGAGAGATGGGGTTGATCAGTGGGTCAAAGTAGAACGCTGGTAGATCAGGATCCTCTGTCTTGATGAACACCACGTTTGGTGTGTGATACCTGCATCAGGAGTCACGTGTGTCCAGTGTTAGTTCACAAATAAAACAATGCAGCTGAATTTTCCAAATACATAATATCCATTTCATGGATAAACTGATGTTATGTTAAGCTGTTCTAAGAATTCAGAGTTTTAATTTTTACCAGGTCAGGTGCACGTGGTGCGGCAAGTTGTTGTACAAGTAGGGGAAGGCAATTTTGTATTCTGTCCTGATGGGCTGTCGAATGATGATTTTGTTGATGTCATTGAACTCATTCCAGTCTTCATCCCTGCAGGAGAAAAAGAATAATCAGCTAAAGCAAAATAGTTTTAAAGTTATATAATTGTTCAAATATCTAAATTGAATACAATGAATGTTAAACATCTAAAGAAATCAAACGGGTTGCAAACCAATTGCATAGATGGAGGTACGTACTGCAGGTTGATGTCTCTGACAAGTGGCTCAAACTTGGGTCCTCCTGGGATAGCCATATTCAAGGCCTTGGAAGTGAAGAAGGCTTTCAGGTCAAACAGATAGAAGTAGTTCATGTCGACCAGGTCTGTCAGAAGCTGATTTGCCAGACGGTACAGTGTTGACATCATGGGCAGCGTGAACTGCCAGCGTCTGTAAGTGGTTCCATTCACAAACCTGAAAAGAAAAGAAATCATTTATATTCTAGCTTTGAAAGTTAAATATAGTCTGTTTTAAAGGGATATTGGAAAACTCACTTGGTAGTGTCTTTGAGGGGCTGGTGTTCATAGAGCCACTCCGCGCATGAAGAATCTTCCTCTGGGTCAAGCTCCATTTGGATGGCCTCTAGGGGTTCCACATCAAGGATGTTGTCAGCGTAGTCAAGTGGCGGCTCCTCATCATCAAATGGAGGGAAACGCATCCTTTTGAAGTGCCGTCGATCACGCTTCTCACGACGCATCATGATCCACATGGTACTGGGTTAAAATAACCAATGCCAGTGATTGTCAGTACAAAACAAATATAGAAACTACAATCAACGCACTGGGAAATTGTTTTTTTTCTTAAGTCAAACTGCCCAAAAAAAGCACAGAATAGTGTTTCTCTTACCCCCACTGCGCAATGTAGACTGGCTCGATTACCCAGGGGATTTCATTCACAAACGAAATGGCTCCGGTGATGTGATAGAGCACAGGAACGTCTCGAATCTGTTCCCAGGGCATTGGCATGTTTTCCAGCAGCTTCAGCACTGCATGGGGCATGTACTTGAGGGCACTGTTCAACAAGTGAAAGGAATTCAATATAAAGAAGCCAAACATCATGTATAAATCTTCACAAACCTTCTTTAATCCTCTGCTCTTTATCCAATTAAAAATTATGCAAGTAGAAACAGCCAGATTTACCCCAAATAGACTCTCTTATCGTGACGAAACTTCCTGTTGGTCATGTCACCATGGTCCCTTATAATCTTGCGGACATGCTCAGGGGGCATGTCTTCCTTTTGAGCATCCACAAACCCAAACTTTCTCTTCTCCGAATAGCGCTTAGCCTGCAGCTGCTGCCATTTTCTTGCTATGTGATTAGGAGGATTTTTCAGTTATTTGTAAATTCAACCCAGTGCATTAACAACTCTCCACAATCTTAAATCGTCTTTAAACCTCAAAGTCAACTGTATGCAAATTTACAGGACAACCATTTTACCTTTTTCTTGCAGTTTTTCCTCAGACATATAGTCTGGCATAGGCGCAGGAGGAGGAACACCTGGGGGAACACCTGGAGGAACAACTGATGGCATCCCCGGGGGGACACCTCTGTAGGGAAAGGTAGCTGCCATGGTACCTCACTATCAAAAGACAAAATTTGATTACTTCAAATCAGGAAAGCTTGACCACATGCTATTCATACATAAAGAACCGTATATACCGGTCAAAAACTAAATCAACCATTATTAAATTAAAATAAATATATCTCCACATTCAAGAAAAAACATCCCAGACAAAAACTAAAAGTTTCAAGTTAAAAACATGATATTGGTAATAGGCTTGTAAAGTCAAAATAATTAGAGCAAAGACTGCTCTTTGCGTAACTACAACCCCATGCTAATTAAGTTAGCTCAACATGGCTTCCGCAGCGGCAGAAGAAAATTTTGACAAACGAGACTTTGAGACCTTTACCTATGATTAGATGAAAACTTACGTATAAAAGGTTGGCATGTTACTAAGATTGATAATCCTTGCAATGTACAAAGTATATTTACCGCAATTATAGTCATTACTGAGTTGATTGTAAACGGGCCAAGCGTGGGGGAGACAGAAGCTAGTCAAATGCTAAAGTTAGCATATCTGCTAACAACTGCGCGTCAATCAACAAAAACGAAAGCTTCTGCGATGCCACGTACCTCGCTACCTTCACTCCAAAGGTGGCTTCTTAACGCTGAAAGCACCCTCAAAACCTTTCCGTCGACTACTACAGCATTTCTTTCTTCTCACTCCCGTGCTTTCTTTGATCCGCGTTCGTGCAGTACTTGGCTGCCGTCGCACAACTGCAAAACCCACGACGCTAGCCGCACGATGAACGCACCTCTGTGGAATTCAGCGTCAATACTTACGCCAGATAACAACGGGCCTCGCTACTCAATGGACGTGATCCTACGTCAAAACATACGCGAACGTTGAACGAGCGGTATTTGGCGAATACCCGGATGATCCCATTTCCGTCGCATTACCGCCCTCTTTAGTATTGGAGTACACCCTGCAGTGTTTGTCCCCTTGTCATACCCGTTTAACAACAACTTGTCCATAGAGTTAGATCGTATTTTTCAAATTGTATGCACTTCTTGAGCAAATGTTTTAAATGACACAATTTGAACACCTTCGTGACACCCGAATTAATAGTAAATAACAAAATTGTTTTAGTATTGTTTTGGTATATATATTCATCATATATATTTATTTACTTGTTTACGTATTGTTATTTATTTATTCGTTTCTTTTTACCTGTAAACATGAGTTTTCTGTACTTTTATTGTGTCGTACAAAACTCTTGATACTTTTTCCAATTCTTCACCTAATGCGATAAAAACGCGGATTTGTGTTGGAAACCATTCCTCAAGACCAGATGAGTAAGTGGCAGACGCCTTTAATATTTACTGAATATTATTTTATAAATCGTACAAAATGAATGTTGACTCAATGAGGTGCAGATTCTCTCCTCTGTTCGCTTTTATTATGAAAAAGAGAAGCGGAAACGGTTGTTTTCAGACAGAAACATCAGCTGTGGTCACACATCTGATTTTCAACTCGGTGGTGACTTTATTTCAGGAGAATGGCGACGTCCGAAGAGGTGCAGGACAGCGTGAAGGTACTTCAGGTCTTAGTGCAGCTCAGAAAACAAACCCTATATCTTTCTTGGTTTGTTTGGGAAAGTGTCATAAAAGTAACACGGACGTTGCATAATTCTAGTTTATTGTTCCGTTTATTCTCTTTGTATTCTTTTATTTATTGTTTTTGTCTTTAATTCACACTTTAACTAACTCTTGTCCGTATGAATGAACCCATTAAAGAAAAATAAAAACTTTTAAAATAGTTTAAGAAAATGAAATGATCATATTGTAATGTGCAGTGATTGTATATTTGTAACAGTGTTAGACCCACAGCAGCCTGTCAGGCAGCTGTATGAGGCATGTGTAAAGGTGTGGTCGCTGTTTTAAATGTGTAAACTATTATGTCCCTTTCAGAAATACTATGGCAGCCGACTGGAGTCTTCGTGTGACTTACAGACCAGTGCCACCTCCTGCAGCATGCCCCTCCGCCCACTGCCTAAAAGCGTTACAGATGCTCTGAGTCAGGTTCACCCCGAAGTCATCAAGAGGTGCGGCTGGCAAACTCCCTTTGAAAAAAATCTTTAAAACAGTACCCAGAAGCATGTTAGTCTTTATGTCTGTTTTAAAAAATTTTGTCATCTTGCAGAAGTTTGACATCCACATTAGTTTGTAATGAGTTTTTTAACTGATTCCAATCTCTGAATGTCTTCCTCTAACTCATGGGATCATTCATGATCAACTTGGCTGTTGGGGTTAAAAGACAAAAGGCCTTCTGATAATTTACCCATTGTTTATTTTTGGCTCGCATTAGCAAACAATGGAACCTATTTAACCAAAGGATTGTTAGCATTTTCCACACAACGCGTCGTCCCTCGAATTCAATCTTTTGACGCATACATTTTTCCAGGTTTTTTGGGTGTGGGCTACCATTTCCAGCCAAGCTGGAAGGCTGCAGCGTTCTGGACCTCGGCAGTGGTACTGGACGGGACTGCTTTGCTTTCAGTAAGCTTATTGGACCGAGTGGACATGTGACTGGGATCGATATGACAGAGGAGCTGGTAATTACGCACAGTTGGACACCTGATCCATGTACTTTTTCACTTCTGATATCGCCTGTGTTTCTTTAGATCACAACATCCCGTCAGTACGTTGAATATCATCAAATCAAGTTTGGCTACGAGAAACCCAATGTCACTTTTGTCCAAGGGTACATAGAGAAACTCACTGAGGCGGGCATACCACGGGAATCAATGGATGTTGTGATGTAGGTTATAACTCTAGTCATCGATCTTGTGTCTGCTGGCCAACACTTGACATGTTATTAAACCAGGATTATCCATTTAAACCCAGATCCAACTGTGTAATCTGTCTGTGCCCAGACAAGAAATCAGTGCTACAACAAGCTTACGATGTCCTAAAGGTAAGCCCCAATAATCAGCGAAACCCGCCAAAAACCTGTGTGAAAACTGCAGAATGTATATCTGATCTTATTTACAGGAAGGAGGGGAGCTTTTCTTCAGTGACATGTATGCCAGCTGTGTCATTCCGGACCACATGAAGCAGGATCCTGTCCTGTGGGGTAAGATGGGATTAACTAAAAGGCAAGAAACTCTGTCATCCACAGACGCGTCTCCACAAACTCGTGTTTTTTTTTAAGGTGAGGGAATGAGTGGCTGTCTGTGTTGGAAAGATCTCATCTCTATGGCCCATGATGTCGGCTTCAGCTCTCCGCTCCTCTTCTCAGCGAGTCACATCGAGGTGCACAACAGCGAGCTCAGAGCAAAAGCAGGTAACCAAAGAATGACTTTGGGCAGCACGAGGCGAAGGCCGATTCTTTGACTGAAATGAGCTCCTTGTCTTCCAGGGGACATCGGATATGCTTCGGGTACGTACAGGCTCTTTAAGCTGCCCAAACTTCCCGTCATGCCAGGCGCCACTGTGACCTACAAAGGCACCGTGGCAGAGTTCCCAGAGCAGCTGGACTTCGATTCCTCCCACTGTTTTAAGGTGCGAAGGCCAGTCACTGCGGTACTAAAGGGATTTCTTATCGGTTTATTGATCCAGGGTTTGTCCATCCAGTTAGTTTTCAATGAAATATGAAACAAAGATATTATGCATTGGTAATCCAAGGTTGGATTTTGTTGTTCTTTGCAGAAGGGCGAGGCTGTGGAGGTAGATGGAGAGATGGCAGCGATCCTCCAGAACTCCAGATTCTGTGCTGATTTCCAGATCCAGGCGTCAGATAAACAGGATTCCAGTTCCAAACCAACACAGGTAGCTGAATATTAGATTTAAGTTGTTTTTTTAAATTGTGTTTTTGATTACGATGGGATTGTTTTAAACATACTGCTACAACGATTTGTGAACAGAACGCTTCTGTGGTTGCGGGTTGTCTGAGTGACATCTGGGCTCTTTATTTTTTCAGTACTGTCACCTCAATCCGTTTCTGCTGGCTGACAAACGTGGGTCCTCTGTGAAACAGTGCTCCAAAACCGGCAAATAAGAGAGGAGCTGCATCCAGAAGGAAGTGAAAAAAGAGAAATGAAGGAAAAGATTTCTAGATAATCTTAGACACCAGAGCGTGTGGTGTCGGTAATATTAGCTTCAATAGATCTATTACTTGCCAATTCTGTTGGTTTTCGTTGGGTCTGATCACTGATTGAGGAACTGACAACAGAGGAATCGGACATACGAAGAAAAATCAGTGGGGTGATGTTAATTTTGGTACCTATGAAAAATATTTTCATGTTTGTGATTGCTTTTATAAGAAAAATTTGCCACAAAATATCACAGCAGTGTGCTTTAGATGAAAGAATAGCTCCAAAAATGTTTATGAAGGAAGCAGAGAAGGAGAATAAAAATGATTTCAGATGTTTAAAATGATATTTTAATGCTGTATTTTAAATTAAATCAAATACTTTAATCGACAGCATGACAATATCTGCCACCAGAGTGAATACATATTACAGTAGAATGACGATATACGATGTGTTTAATGTAAAATGTGTTAAAGATATCAGTCTATATTGACCAATTTGAGGTATGATTCCAACCACACCAGAGCAATAACCTGTGAACTCTGGGTCAACAGTAAACACAAAGACTTATCAACAAGAGACATGTTGATATGTTTTTGATAAAAATGTATATCAGTACATGTGAAACAGATGAAGGCCCTCAGGTTTATTTTTCTGTACCATAATCATTATATCATAGTAAAATTGTCTGGATTAAAGTGTCTGTTTTAAAAAATTGTTGTAATATTTTTTTTACCAGACAGCATGATATGAAAAATATTTCCCTTTCATTTTCTTTAAGTCTCAGATGAATGTAAAAATAAACAGCGCTTTTTCCTTTACTTCTGCAAGTAAAGAGCAATAACAAAAGTAGACTTTTTAATTCTGTAACATTTGCACTATCCTCTATATTTACCACTGTAGATTTATCTAGATATCTTTGATAGCTACAGTGTTAGAAATATGTCTATTTTAATCAAAGAAAGTAAGCAAAAATCCAGAAATATAAGTAAAGACGGTTTGTTTATTAAGAAAAGCATTAAAAATGTATAACCAAAGGAAAGGCTTAAATGTATAAATGCCACCTCCAGGACAACATTAGATACTTGTTTCTTTAAAGGACTGCGTTGCTCTGTTCGGTAATAATTGTAAGTCTGTAGTTTTAATCAGGCAAACTGTCCATTTAAATCAATGGATTTGATAAGAACACAACTCTGATGGTCTGGAGAATAAAGAAAAATTATTCAGATGGTTTCCAAATACTTGCTCCTCTGGTTAAATGGGATGTTTCCTATGAGTCAGCATTTAGCAGATGCTTTTCCCAAAGCGACTTCCTAGCAAGATACGACGGGAAACCCCAGCATGACGAGACTACACCACAAAATGCACTCAAAAGATGAATGGACGTGTACTGTATTAGACAACAACCACTATAAACTAGAATTAAACGCTAAACTCAGGTCCAGTGCTCTCGTTATAAAGAAATCAGATTAGTGTCCATAGAGCTAATTTAATAAAGCATTTTCTGCTACTGTGGTAACCGGGCTGGTTTTCCAGAGGCCCGAGGTAGTAAATGGAACCATGCGATTTGGTACTTTGAAAGAAAGAGGTAGAGAAAACAATAGAGAAAGGCAGCAGACATCCTTGCTGGAAGGTATCGCCTCTGGAAATATCCGGTCACATCTGCAGCCAGCTCAGGTCATCAGCTCTGGATGGAAGGGGTTGCAATCGAGTGGCAAAAACAAACATGTCAATGAGGGTTTCCTTCTCTATCGGACTGGGAACCGTACAATGACCATGGCAGTGTCACTCACTGAGCCTGGGCCTTTGTCAGGACTTTCTTCTTCGCCATCAGCTCAGCCACCTGAGCCACAGCTGGATCAAACATCAAGCTGGCCACAGCCAAGACCGCCTCATCCCTGTGCACAGCGAAAAGAGAGCGTCAACAGACGTTTGGGCTGAAGGAGGAACCGCTTGAAGTAAAACCTGCTTACTTTATGTAGAAAGCCAGAAATTTTCTTTCTTCCACTTTGCCTTTGTATATGATTTCTGTGTATCCCTCCGCATAGCCTAAAAACGGGGACGTGAAATTGCTAACTGAGATTCAGTACAGCCAAATACAATTAAAATATTCTCATACTAGAGTCGCATTCAAAACCCGACCTGTGTATCTGATGCTCTTTCCAAGCAGAGAGGTCCAGAAGAAAGGAACAGACTCAACTGCGACTTGTTTCTTCAACATGTTTAGAGCCGCAACTCGTCCTGGAACGGAAAAGAGTGGTGTCATTAAACAGAAAGAGGGCTGAAGGAGACTGTGTGGTGAAGAAACACCAGAACAGAATGAAAGAAAACAAAAAAGAGGATTTCCTTTTTTTGCCTTTAAAAAAAAAAACTATTGAGTTTCCCACCATGAGCTTGTGACATCTGCCAGTGACCGATGTTGACCTGCTGGCCACCACGAATGCTCAGAGGGAAGGAGGTGACATCTCCTGCACTGAAAATGTCCGCGATGTTGGTCCTCAAGAACTGTTTTAAAAAGATGGAGGGTTTAAACGCAAAATTTGACACAAAGTGCCATAACGCTGATGGACTCTGTATCTTTTTACCTTGTCAACGATAACGGCCTTCTTTGAGTCCACTGCTACCTCACTTCCTGCTAAAAAGTCGGAATTGGGTATGACACCTAGAAGAAAAAAAACACAAAATACTGTTTGTGGAGCACATCTTGCAGAAGATCTGAATGTTTAATGGACAGCGAAGCTGATTCCATTACTCACTCAAACTGGGTTTGGAAAAAGACTTTGGGAAGGATTTTCTATATTGCCAGAGCTTAATAGGTTTTCTTTATCTGCTTGTGTAGAAGTAAAAAGAACTATAAAACCCCCTTTTTATTGATTATTTCTTTATAATTTTTTTTTTTTTTTACATCTCTTTTATGTAATGCATTTGTTTTATTGCTATGTGTTATTATCTGCAGTAATTATTAAGAAGTTATCGTAAGTTTTTGGGCTGTGGAACGAATTATATGAATTACAGTGTATTCTTGAGGGAATATTTGAACCAACAGACGAATATTTTAACGTACGAAGTATTAAATTCGTAGGTAGAGTTTCTACTGTATTCAGCATTACTGGGGTTACTCAGACATGATACACCCAATGCTTTGCAGCAAAACACTATTACCAATTCCCGCAACCACCACATCAGCTTCCAGGATTGTGCCACTCTTCAGGACCACCTCCTTCACCTGGAAAGAAAAAAGCCTTAAAGACATTTAAAAAACTGATGTATCTCAGATTAACAGCGATAATCTTATACAAAAAAATTGACAGTAGTAGTAAAAAATATCCGGCTGTCACAATCAGAATAAAGTCTGGCCTCACCTTTCCGTTCTCTCCTCTGATTTCAGTCACTTCGTCGTTCATGTGGAATTTGACATTTTTTTCTTCCAACATCTAAAAAAGAGGAGAGGCTTTATGAATCTCATTGTCGGACAGCATCTGTTTAAAAGCTGCATCACTGTTCCTTACTTGCATGCTCATCTTGCCAATTTCAGGTCCCAGAGACCTCTCATATGGGTACGTGGTGTTGCCAACCAAAGCAACACTGGCAGCTTTGTCTGACAGGTATGATGCCACCTCCATACCTAATTTGGAAATGCATGAGCAGAGTTAACGCCACTATGTTCTTACCGATTAAGCAAAATAGAGGCTTGCTGATCATCTTATTGAGTAGTGAGTTTGCCATAACTGGGGAAATACTCTTAAATATCTAAAGTCAAAAAAGTGCTAACCTATGAAGGATGCTCCAATGACGACGGCTTTCTTTCCCTGGGAGGAGGTGTGAATCTCTTTAGCATCCTCGTAGGTCTGTAGCAGCTGCACTCCCTTCAAGTCTGAACCAGGACAGCTGAGTGGCCGCGCTCTGTGGATAAGGAAAAAAGAAGAAAGGAGCCCTCGTCGGCAGGCTTTTTTTGGGGGGTGTTAAAGCCTTTAAGAAACAGGAGGAAGCGGTGGGTCACACCTGCAGCCTGTTGAGATGAGGAGCTGGTCATAACGCTGTGAGGTGCCATCGCTGATCTTCACCAGCTTGTCAGCCGTGCTCACAGACACCACCTGCACCACGACACACACACACACACCAGCGCTCTCAGGGAAAAGCCCAGATAACCTCAGAAGCACATCACAGGGCTTCGCAGTTTTGTTTCCCACCTCCTTCTGAGTCCACACTTCTATCCCGTACTGCTGATAAAAATCACTGGTCCTGAGGAGAATGTCGCTGCTGTCCACGTGCATAGCCTAAAACAGGGAACGTCACATCAACAAACAGGAAGAAAACAACAAACAAAGCTAATACTTTGAGCAGCAGGATACAATGACTAACTGAATTAAGGTTACCTTACCATTCGGGTAAAGTTCTTACCTTACTCAGCTTTGTCTTGTCAAAGGGGGCCAGGCTGTCTTTGGTTATGATGATAATTCGTCCCTCGTAGCAGTTTTGTCGAAGTGTCTCAGCACAAACCAACGACGCGGGGCCTAGAATTAAAAAAATATCGGTTTAGGGTGTGTAACACTTTCAACTGAATCTTGGATATATGTTACGTATGTGTTAATCTTTAAAATCAATGAAGCTGAACAATTACAGGAAAAGTATCTTGAAAAAATAGGGACTACTTTTTTGTGCTTGGGAATTTTTTTTTCAGTGTGTACATTTCTTGAGGTTTACCTCTAAATAATTCAACAACAAATTCAAAAGAGTTACAATCTTCAGAGGCTTGAGGCGGACCATGATACCAGCAGCTACAAACAGAGCTATAAAGATGAGATTAAAAAGGGATCTGTTGTCCTGTAACTATGGGGTTTTTACCCCAAAAAAATTCAAATGTCAGCTGTTTATCAAGTGCGTGATAGATGCAGTATCTCCAATCTGCCAGATAAAATACTCTTGAGGCCCCCAGACCTTACCGCCTCCGACCAGCAGGACGGTGTGCTTGACGTCTGGCTGGATGGTGCACATCTCCTTCACTCGCCTGCTTGACTGCATAGACTGGGGGAGAGGAACGGTGTTCTTTCTCTTCTTTTGTAACAGCAAATGAAAGATACCTTGAATTATGGTACACGCCTGTGAATTATGTCACTTACCTTTTTGTCGATGGAAACATAAACCTTGCCATCTTCAACCTTCACCTGTTAAATAAAACCCAACAACCAACGTTAGCTTTTACTACCTCTACAACCGATTCTTGATAAAAATGATACACGCGTTCATTTGTTTGATCATCAACTAATTCAAAAGATTCGGTTTATGTGTGTGAGACATTGAGCACTAAAATAAATACCTGAATATGTTATATTAAAAAATGACTAACTTACATGTGCTTAATCTGTGTAACAAGCTGAAATCCGTTTTTTGATTAATAACTCAATATCACAATTGGGACTTAAAAAAAACTTTTTGTATCAGGTTGATGGACTTGATAACATATGCTGTTTTTAAATAATCGTTTCACCTTGTAACAGGGTAGAGAGTCCAGGCCTGGATACTCCTCAATATCGCCAGTCCTCACATTGAAGCAGGCACCGTGAAAGGGACACCTCACCCTCTCACCAACCAGGGCACCTGGAAGGTCATGATTTATGATCTGGACTTCTTGTGTATGTTACAGAGAAAGAATCCGTACGTACTTCGAAGAATTACCTTTACTCAGGGGAGCGTTGTAATGAGAGCACTTTCCCCCAACAGCACTGAACAGACCCTGGGTGCGGACCAACAGCACCTTCTGATCCCCCACAAGGAATTCTCTCATTCTTTATGAAGACAAGAAGCAAAAGGGGAAGAGTGGGTGAAGTTCTGTGTGCATAAAAGCAGTGCCTTGGAAGGAAAAAAAAGATGATTTTGTGTTTTCCGGTGAAGAAAAAAGCTGCAACTCACTGTCCATCTTGAAGATCAGCCTCCTGACAAACCAGTTCCGTCACCTCCTCCTGAGCTTCACTCTGACCTGCTTCTTTTTGCCAACTCATTCTGACACACATTAAGCAAACAGCCGTATTATCAGATCAAGGCACAGCACTCCAGGCAATAATGGGTGGCCCTAATATATGTGTACAGAATATGTACAGGTGAACTTTAACACTGCCGATCCCTGATATTTAAAAATTCTTTCTGTTCACTGTTAGATTAGAATAGCCACAGACAAATTACTGTTCAGTTACATGACAGATTTATCTGCTATTGAGTCTGTTTAGTCATTCTGTCAGTCAAGAATTCTTTCTTGTCAGTTTATTCAATTTCTATTCGTACAGCAAGAAAGAGAGGATTCATCATTAAAAAGAATGCATCTGAAATCCATTGGACGCATTTATCTTTTTTTGCTTGGCGATGGATACATTTTTTTCTTACATTTGTCTAAAATATCTCATATCTCTCATTTTAAAAAATCATAAAAAATAAGACATTCGAGAGAAGTCGGTTAAAGAACCCCCTAGCTGAGAACGACAACGTAAATCAAACCGTGGAAAAAATCCTAAAAATTCCTAAAATACAGATAAAATGAACATATATGCACATTCCAGCATTTTATGGGAACACGAAGCTGCTCTCACCTGCTTCTCCTGTCACCGGTCAGCGGTCCAAACGCAGCATCCACTCCGAACTCTGGCAGCCGGCAGTTTCCTGTGATGTAAACAGAGGAGCTTGCGGTAGAAAACCCCACGTGACACTCAGTCGTACCCTCGTGCTCGCCGCGAGCGCCTCCTCCGACCAACCGGAACCGAGGGGGGACAAAAAAGCTACTGTTACGGCGACGGTTACAACACCAAGGCGGCAGGATGGAGGCAAGCTGCTGCCACCGGAAAATGAATAAGCAGACAAAGGTTAATGAGCAATACAAGGGATTTTTTAGAATTATTTTAAGAAGACATTTTTAGGCATTAACGTTCAGCTAGCGTTTCTATGTTCCTGCAATGGCGCCCCTCTAACAGTTTTAGCTTGTTTAAAATGAAGTCCCTCTCAGTTTTTTCTTTAAACATTCATGTTTAAACCAGTTTCAAACAAAACAACTTTTGTAACGAAAAATATAAACTGATGAAGTTTAGCTTAAAACACTTGATGCGTTTTGTAGTTTGCTAAATCACAGCCAGGAAAATACAGTTTTTTGGTTTTCTTTAACTCACTTGTCTAAAACGCATACATATTTATGTTAAGAAGGCTGTGGTGTGTGTATTATAACACAGAAATAATGTAACTGTTCGCTTTTTATGCCGAGCAGCATTTACTTCCTAAACGCCTAATCTAAATACACGACCATTTTTGTTGGTAACTAACTTTACTTTTGCTCAATTATGGAACTAACAATAGTTGAAATGATTTCATGAACTGAAAAGAAAGACCAAATCGCCCGAATAATGTCTGCTGTTCCCAGATAGAGTAAACACTGGATACACACAAACTGTACTCACTTTTTTGTGCCTTTCCACTACGAAAAAAAAAATGTATATATTGAGAAAGCACGCCTGGGCCAGTGGGCTGTGGGTGGAGGCGTTGTTGATTAACTGTCTCTAAAGTGCCTCCTGTTTTCATCCGGGCAGTGTCGCTGTGTCACCGAAGACCCGCTCGGCCATTCATGGCCGTTCAGGCCAGGGCTTGAATGGAAACAGGACTTTCCCGGTCATTCAGTTACTCAGCGTCAAAATTCTTCGTGCTGCATCATTCAGTCTGAAAACCAGACGGTCCGTGGTCTTAATTCAAATCAGAGGTCCTGTAATACCTTCCTTTGGTTTCCAGTTACACAAATAATAAACCAATATTCCTATAGATCGGTGGTCTCTCAACCAATAAGGCGGGTTGCATTCAAGTACTGTTTGTAGTTCATATAATCATTGATTGCAAGGTATTTTGTGACGAATTCTGGTTTTATTAGTAGAATCAGTTTAGATTAAATGAATCACATAGATAGAAAATAACAACATCTGAAAACAAATCAAGTCTTTTGTAGTTAATAATCTAAATGCACACTCTCTAAATGCACATTTCATTGTACAACACTAGCAAATACCATATCTGGTTATCTTTACTGTAATTGTTCAATGGAACATGTTGATGGGAGTAAAGTTTACAGCTGTCTGTGGCTGAAAACTGCCACTTTGGTTTTTCACTATTAGAAATATTCCTTTAGTTAAAAAATAATGAATGATACCAACATCAACAGATAACCTTTTTCACAGCAGAAATAGATTTTTTTTAAATGACTGTTTTCCTATAAAGAATGTTTCATAACTTACAGGTGGATCAATCAATTTATTTGAAAAAATATATAAATGAATAAACAGGCTCCTGGGCACAGATAAAGACACTCATCTTGTTCCAAACAGACATAGAACAAGAATAAACAATGCCATTTTTTTCTTTCTTATAGTTTAGATCTATTCATTTCAGATTCTTAGGATTCTTTTGTGGATCCTATTTAAATATTGGTCTGGATTTTTGTTCCACTCGTTTAGTTGCTTTTTGAATTTTTATTTTTTTCATTCCAATTCTTACTCGAATTTGACTTGATGTCAATATCTTGTGTGCCACACTGTAATCCCTGTCATTGTTAAATTTTTCTTATTTGCTTTATGTCACGTCCATTCACCCAAACGTCGATTTGAGTAAACCCAAATGCCACCAGATGTAGCAAATTATTCCGATAGCAGTTGAACGCCACGCAACACGTGAAATGTGCTCGTGGCCGCGCCTCTTTATAGTAGGGCGGGGCGAGGCCGCTTTCTGTTGATGTCAAAAAGTTACACAAGCGGGTCTTTACAAAAGGGCGGTTTCACAACTGTCAACAAGGCTCCGGGACTACGCGCCCCATTCACCTCCGCGGGCTTCTACCTGTGCCAGGCGGGGACTTTTCTCCTTTTTTTTTTAGACAGAGGGCTCATTAGGGAAAACGCCACTCAGCCTCTCGTCCGTGTCAGTTGGGGTCTTTTTTTTTGTCTCCGTTTTCTGCTTTTGGACGGTTATCGCCTTTTGTAAAGCCCCCGTTGAGGTGGTCTGATCGGAAACGACCGGGAAAAAAACACCGGCATGCTAACGTGATTGTCTCAGCCGTCGCAAACAAGTGCCGTGCCGTGCCGTGCCGTCGTCCGTCGGTCTGGGTGGGCCGTAGTGTGGTCGTTGTCTCGCGTCTTGGACTTATAACACCCCCCTCCACCCCCAACCCACACACACACACACCCACCCCGAGAAAACCTCGCCGCGTCTTACAAATCTTTCAGCCATGGAGACAAGTTCTGTGATTTTGACCACCGGGGGCTCCTTCGCCTTTTTCCGGCTGGTGAACGCCGCGGTCCGAGAGCTCCCCATGCCCGAGTCCGCCTGCAGGAATGCCTGGAAATGGAGAAATATCTCCACATCGTTCGTGCACAGTCTCATCACGGCGATATGGGCAGTGCTTTGGTGAGTTGGACTCAACGCAATCCCCGTTTTGGTCGAAGTTACATCCGCTTTACCCACATCCATGCTGGAATTAGTTGAACTAACTTAACTATTCCAGAATAAGCCACTTAAAACCTGTTGAATTTGGTTTGGAAATTGTCCTGTCAAAGTTCTAAAGACCTTTTTTTGGGTCGTTTTTAATTGCTTGTGTTTCTCTTCACAGCTTCTTCCTTCACCCACAAATGGCCGAAGATCTGATAGAAACCCACTCTGTGTTTTCCCATGCTCTGGTGTCCTTTTCCATCGGTGAGTAGCTCTCCTGAGGAGTTTCTGTGTTTGAATGACTTTGTTGGTGGATGGAGAAGATGCGGGTTTGTGGTTTGAGTATAAAGGCAGGGGGTTTGGGTTATAGGCGTACTGGACAACCTCCATCGGTCACTTTTTGTTATGGGTTGCAGTGAAGCGCCCTCAGTGATGATGTTGCATGTAGATACACAGAAACTGTCATGAATAAGCAAAGTTTTTTTGTTTTCTGGTACACGCGTGGGGTAGAAGAACGAAGAAGACTGCTAAAACCTGCAGTAATGGACGCTTTGTGTACCGTAAAGAGAGTTTCAGTCCTCTGCAAAACAAACTACACAAAACGCCTCCAGCTTTTTTTGTTTTCCCTCATTTTTACATCAGATTTTCTCAAAATTTTGCCCCAAACCCCCCCCCCCCCCCATCTTTTTGTCATCTTTCTGCAGAAAAACAGGAACAAATCCCCCTGAAGGGACACTCTTTTACCCTCTATCAACCAAATCAAGGACGAGGGCAAATTACATTTAGTGTAATTTCGTTATAATTTTGCAAACCTTGGAGCACATGCTACCACACATTCTTTAAATAGCCACTGTCCCTGTTTCTCCTCTTTCTCATTAAGGCTTCAATTATTCTGTAGCAACCAGTAGCACATGAGCCCCCTTAAAGCTGTTAATTTTTTGGGGATTTGCGAGGGGGCAACAAACATTCCTTGAGGATTCCCGGGATGTCTGGCATTCCTTCGGGAAGCCGAGCCCTGGAAGCTGGCAAAGCGAGCAGCGCTGTTGGCATGTGAAGATCAATAAGGGGCATTATAATCAGTCCCAGGCACCAGGCGTAACCCCTCACCCCCGCGTGACATCACACAAAGGGTCAACTACCCAATAAGTCAGTTTAATTATGCAGGCCGTCCACAGCAGAAGCAGATAAGACTCATTCCCGTGCTCGATGGCACATATACAGTAACCAAAGAGCCGGTTTGGGCTAAAACAGGAAGGAGTTTTTTTTCCTGTTACCGTAACATAATGCATAACAAATTTAAAAAGATTTTTTTTACAGACCCAAAAGCAATAAAGTTACAATAACTAAGTCACTATCAGTCTGAGCCACATATCTCAATCAGGTTTTACAGCCATGGCAACAGTCACGTGTCAGTCTGAAAACATGTGCTTTGACTAACTGGTTTTAGATATGCTTGTTCCGTTCATTCCAGCATGCCATTGTCAGGGAAACATCTTCAACGGAAAAAATGTGACCTACATTTTTTCTTTGTGGGTCTTTCTCAAGCTGGCTTTTTGTAGCTATTGAAAGTCAAAGCCGCATCTCCGCTCTCCGTGTGGACGTTGGCTCCCGGAGCCCGGGCTTCACACTGGCATCGTTCTCGAGCTGCGTTGTGACGCCCGCTCTTTATTCATATCAGTCAAATAACACAAAGAAAATGTTTGAATAATTGGGGCAAGATAAGAGGTGTTGGTAAACCGGCACTCGGTTTGAGCGTTCATGGTCAAAATGGAGGGAGACCCAACCTTTGCTCTGTCGGTTTGGGCTCCCCCCCTATTCGTTTTAAACACTGACATTGTGTGAATAATAGTCGAGAGGCGCCCGAATGCAATCCCAGATGATTTGGTGCTGTGGCAGGTGGCGTGTTTTGTTTTGTTGTCGCACCAACAAAAGGGGTCCTGGTGTCGCATTTCCAGCTCAATGGGGTTATCCCGGCCCCGCCAAAGCCCCGGGCGCCCTCATATCTCCTCGTCCCCACGCTCAAACCCTGCCATTATTTTTCCAGTATTCTTAAAAGCTGTCGCCATGGTTACAGCAAATGGCGGGGATGGGGTGGGGGGTGGCGGATATGAATAGCCCCACTCCAAGAAGCATCCTGGTTGCCGTCACCGTCGTCATGGAAGCAGGGCCCCGCTGACACAGCTGATTAGCTGCAGGCCGCACTTGTCCAAATAATCTGCTGTGTTTTTGGTGAATTGATGAGTTTGTGAACCAAAAGATGACATTCCTATCCCCCCCCCCCCCCCCCAACAGGTTACTTCATCTATGACTTCTTTGACATGGTGCACAACCAGAAGTTGAGTCAGTCCTGGGAGCTCCTCTTCCATCACATCGTGGTAGGTGTCTCAAACATCACGTCACAACGCACCCCCGCACCTCTACGGAGCAGATGCTCGAAAGGCAAAAATACTGGTCTTTCCCGTCCGGTTTCAAGGAACAGGTGAAGGCGGAACTATAAAAACAAGCATTCCACTGTGGCAGCCCCCCCCCCCCCACACACACATACTTTAAAGCCTTCCACCTGCCATCAGTCCCCTCCCCGGGGGCATTCCGCTCACATTCACACAATTGTTTTAACACTTAGTCACTTTTTTTAATGAAACCAGCTCACCCTCCCGGCGTGGTGATCCTCATCACGCTGACATGCTGAGAAACACTTCCCTGTTTGGGAGAGAACTTACCAAGAGCTTGCTTTCTGCTGCCCCGTCTTTAACCTCCCACAGAATGTTTACTTAAGGGTTTGGAGTAGGTTTATATTTCGGCTGTGATTTTTTAAAAATGTATTTATTTTTCATCTGCGATTTTAAGTGTCCGTCATTTATTTGTTGTGATTTATTTATTTATTTTACAACGAGGTCATTGAGAATGAGGCCCCTGTTGCGTCAAGCACATCATATATTCATCGAAATGGCGCGACACACCTGGGTCTAAACAAAGCAGGGAAAAAAGAAAGAAAAAAGCTAACTTTTTTTTCCTGACTTAAATAGCTTTCAAATGTAATATATGTTTTAATTACTTTAGTCTGTCACTAACTTTGAGCAGCGTTTGGACACAGAAACATTTGCTCTGCTGAACATATTGTGTTAAACGTTGCTCACTTCCACGCACTCAGTAGTTTGTTGCAGTCAGAGTGACCACTGGAGGTGTAGCGCTGAACATTTTGACACTCCTTTGGGATAAGGTCTCCGAACCAGCTTGCTCCAGTGATGCCCTTTTGTTGGGGGCAAAAAACCCTGGCAGAGTCAAAGAGAAGGGGGGGGGGCTGTCTTCAGTTTTTGTCCTTCTTCTCTGTCACTCCCTGTAGGTCCAGTGAATGGCGGCTTTAGCCAGCTGGCTTCAAATCATCATTAGAGCGTGGGAGGGAGAGGGACTCTTTCATTCACATGGCTCTGTGTTCTCAGGGCACTAACTCCTCGTTACTCCATTTGTTGCTCTGTTGCACCATCTTCAAGACCTCCATTCAGTCTTAATTCAGCCTCATTTTCAAAGAAAGCATTCATTTTTATTTCCTTTTTTTGTTCCCCACAAAGTCTTGCCCAAACGTAGTCAAATCATTTCCAATTTCTTTTATTCCCACATTCACAGTCGTCTTTTTTTTTTTGTATATATATTTTTTTTTTGTCTGACCTCATTTTGGTTTTGTTCTCAAAAAGCAACAGGAGCAGGGTACCATATGCAAATCTCTCTCTGGGCTCTTCCAGGTGGGCACCACCATCTGGTAACACGGGGGACAGCAGAGGGTTGCTTTGCCTCACCTCACCTCTCCACCCCTATTCCTTCTCTTATATGTAACACCAATACAGTATCTGCCTTTTGCTCGACGACACAAACAAACCAGAAAGGCAAAGGTGGGAATGTGGTCCAACGGCCAAGCTATTTTGGCGCGCGCTGACAGAACGCGGTGACCTAAACTTGTTTGGTGACTTGCATCGGGGGAAACCTCACTGTGCGAATGAAATAGCGGACAAACGAAGCGGCTGGAAAATCTGCTGCTGGGCTTTTTCAAATGCTGCCTCCACAGTGAGGACGGGAGCTGTGTGTGTGTTTTTGGTGGTGTGTTGATTCCAGGTGGGGCTTTTTGAAAGGCTTTCGCTGAATTGTCTGTGTCTGGAGGCACGTGCAGAGGTCCGTTTTTGAAGGCCGCAGCAGTTGCCACACCAGTCGCGCAGGCTCGTAAACGTCAGTGGGCGCGTAGCGGTGGAATGCTGCTGCAGTTTGACTGGAGTAACCTTAGTACTCCAGGTTAGAATGCGCAGCCTTCATGTAATCAGCGGCAGAGTTTCAGGCTTGTAAATCAGACTTTTATGTTTCTGGCCCGACCCTGTTCTCTATATCGTTGCTTCTTTGCTCAGGTTGTTTGCGCTAATCCAAACTTAAAGCTGGTTTCTCTGTGTCTGCAATCTTCTGAAAAGGGTTTGGCCTGTTTCATCTGTAAATAAGTGAGCCAGCACGAGGCTCAGCTAGAGACTTGCTGGTCTGTCGTTGCAGTCCAGGAGAAACAGCAGTCAAACATTCCATGGAAAGTCTTTTTTTTCCGCTTCTTTTTCACTGGAGTCGGGATCACGGCGTCTTGTTAGTGTCTGAGGAATAAGGTGGGCCATGCCACAGTCCCTCATGGCTGACGAGATCCCGTCTGCCAGCAGCTTGTGATTCCTGTGGGAAAACGGGAAGATTTCTAGATTCTAACACACAGTTTGAATTTAAAAATATATATGGCGTGTGGTATCTAATGCTGCTAGAGCTGAGTTTACCCTGAAATGGTTAATGAAGAACCAGGTTTGTTTGCTTTTCTCGTTAAAAGGAAAGGCAAAACCTCCCTTGAGTGTGTCTTTTCGCCTATTTTGCCCATGACCCCTGGAAACGGAGAGTTTGTAATTAAAAAATATGAGAAGAGGGATGCCAAACGCAGGCCCAGTCTGCCGCAGGGCAGCTAATTCTTTCCAAGAAGGAAAGGGCTTGAGTAACAGTAGCTGTATCCAATGTTCTCTTTGGATAATGTAATGGACGAGGCACCAGAAGGAACACGGAATCGGTTTGCCCCTCTGCCCTTTCTTTGCCGTGGCACACACAAGAGTTTGGAGTTTTGCAGCGCATCTGCCTCTGTGAATGTGTCTCCCCTCTCTTGTTTGGCAGAACTCGGTTAGCTTCATACAGGTGGGCCCCTCCACAGCAGGTCCGGGCGTCACAGGGGGACTGGCCCCTTTCAGCTTCAGCTCTGCCTCCTGTCTGCGTGACCAAACCTCCATCCAGACATCTGGTCTTGCGTTGACATTTGATTGAACTGCAAAGATAATTCCAAGTGGCAAGGTCACAAATCTAGTCAATTATGTCCCTCCACCACCAGAATAGACAGTTTGTGGAAACACGGGAAGACGATTGAGTCCCGGTTATCTCTGATAACACGCGGCCACGCGGTTAAAATCTAAAAAAAATCCACCCTTTCACACCCGGCTCCTTCCCCCGTTTTGGCTGCGATGCTTCAACTCGTCTCGACCCTCAGACGCGGCTGGAACTCGTCTCAGTTCGCCGGCAGTGAAAAGTGATATTTGCGGGAGGAATGTGGAGCAGTGTCACATAGCCGTCAGGGGGGGGGATGTCACATTTTCAGCATCAGCATTCTTTGGTTACCTCAACGAACATAAGTCTGCTGGGCCGGTGATTCTTTGACTTATCCAGAACCCCGTTTGCCCATGTTTACCATTTGGTTTCTCAAAGCGGTGCTTTCTGGTCAACAGCTGGCCTCTCCGCTTTGTAGTAAGAGAGTTAACGTAGTTTATCCCGCAGCCTTTCAGAGCAGTCAGATCTGTCTGTGTTGTGCGTGACAGCTGCTCATTTACTATTTCTTTTTTTTGTTTACTGCTAACTTCCCCAGGGCGGCTTCTCTGACTCCCTCTTGTTGACCCACGTTTTTTGGCGTGACCCGCCACACGGAGCGAGCGCCGCTTCGCCACGTCTCCGGTGTCAGCATCACGTTCGAGCTGCCGGGAGCTCCTTTTGTGTTGTCGCCGGTGTAAGGGTAGAACAGACCGCTTGTGCAACACAAAGACAACAATATCGTGCCACACGCTGAGGTCAGCGAATAGCCACCGGCAGAGATGACACGTTGCAAAACGGCGTGGAACGTGCGCGCACGCCGGATTCCTTCAGGCTAGCAGCGTTCGCCGTGTTGTGTCAGTGACTGTTGCTCGTCTTGTCGGCGGGAGCCCACGGATATCCCCACCCTGTGTGTGTATTCAGACAGCAGGACACACATCTGGTCTCCACATGAACTCAGGCTCTCGAGAGCAAAGCACACAATACTTCCTGAGATGGCTTCAGCAAATGTGTGCTCCCCCCTCAGCCCCACTCCATATATCACACACACAGACGCGCACACACACACACACTGCCTTGTTCTCCATCCCTCTTATCCTATGACTTCCAAACATCTCCCCCATTCCCACTCATCCACCCACTCTGCAGCTTGTTCCGCCCCCACACATGGCTGTGAACCAATGAGAGCCTCTGTGCGTTGCTAAAGCTATATCTGGTTTGTGTGGCGAGGTGTGTTCTTTCCACCCTCATGCTATGTCCTACGTTGAGGAATTTCCTTGTCCATTGTTTTAGAGGCAGGCCAAGTAAACTGGGCAGTATATAATGATATCCACCAAACAATGGACGTGGCTTGTTTTGTTGAGAGGTTCTTTAAGAGATCCAGAATTTTACTTGTTTCATAAAAAGGCAAAGATTGAAACTGTTTGCTGTGGATTATGGAACGAAGAAAGAAGAGATCCCACAGCTAGAGCGCGTGTGGAGTCTGACAAAGGTACTAGTTCTAAAGAGTCGATGGGCCCCTACGCCAAAGTGACTTCAGCACTCGGGAATCAGAAAAGAAAAGCTGTCAATACCACGTCACACACACTCAGGCTGGATAGGCAGAGTGCCCTGAGATGAAGAAAGAAAAAGTTTTCGGGGGAGGAAAGAATGGGTGGCGTTTGTTCCCGTTGGCATAACAACCAGGAATGCTGATCCTTGGTAAACTGAGAGCCATTATTTCCAAAGGCAAGGCGGGAACCGGGGTTTTGTCGTCCCGCAGTGTCACACCTGCGAACACACCTTGAACCGCAGCGTGAGAGTCATTGTTGAAGAGAACTGGCTCGGATTCAACTGCCCTGGGAAAAACCACGCTTCATGGGTGTGTGAGCGCGTGAGAGCACAGCCACAGGGTGGTGACGGCCTTAGATTACAGATTGGGAAAGGAGGAGTTACACATCTGATGGTTGTTGTTGTTTCTTTTGCCGTTCGTGTGCGTTTCATAGCAACCTGTTATTTTTAAATAGGCTTTCACTTAGGGCAG